TTACAAAGAGGTTTGGCAAATTTAAAGGAAAAACAAAAACTTAAATTGATTATTATCCCTTTTTTTATATTTTTTTTCATCCCTACTTCAATAAAACTAATTTTAATAATATAAATAAAATAAATGACAAAAAAAATAATGAAAAACCAAAATATCCCAATTACTTTCTATCAATTCTCTTTTTCCCTATTTCTCAATCATGATTTCAGAATAAAAAAAATGATCTGTTTACTGTTTTTTTTGTTGTCACTAGATTAATCAATTATCAATTGGTTAAATTAGGAGAAATTAAAGGTTGCAATGGTAGGAAATCAAACATTTAAGCTTTGAAAGGGCGTTCAAATTAAAGACACAAAATTGAAGACAAAAACAGAGACATATAAATACAAATACACACAAATCCTTTAAAAGTTTGGAAAGATTACCTTCAAAAGGTTGGAGAACCGATTTGTGCCGCCCTTTGTATTTTCTATCTAAAAAAACTTTCTTTTCTTTTTCACTGTAATTTGGGTATGTATCAAAGCATCGAGAAAAAAAAATAAAAAAAAATAAATAAATAAATAAAATATGTGAAGGAGCTAGAGTTCAGAAAATACAAAATTATTTCAGAATAAACGATGATTGCAAAACAATTTGATAGAAAGAGAGATTAAAATAAATAAATACATAGTTTTAGAAAAGTTAAAATGGATAGAAATTTTGGAAGTTTACTTGAAATCAACGTGCTTAACCACAAAGTCTGTCCCATTCTCAGTGCAAGTTTATTTGGCAAAAGCTTGGCCAACACAGTTTGTTGAGGAAATTGCTGCTAAGGTCCAGTTTTGGACTAGCAACTACTCATTTTGTGCTAGAAGGTTACAACTTATAAAGTCTGTCCCATTCTCAGTGCAAAGTTTATTTGGCTTCCACCTTTATCCTCCCTAAGGCTGTCCTAAAGGAGATCACTTCAATTCATAGAAGATTTATGTGGAAAGGACAAACTTTAAGAAATGGAGGCTATAAAGTTGCTTGGAAGGATCTTTGTTTACCTAAATCTGAAGGAGGGTTCTGCATAAAAGTTTTGGAAACATGGAATATGGTTGTTATGTCTAAGCATTTATGGAAAGTTGTGCAGCCAAACTCTATCTGTGGGTTAATTGGGCTCCGTCTCAACTAATTTTGGAATCTTAAAGTTCCATTTGACGCTCTTGGAGCTGGAGAAATCTTCTAAGGCTGAAGTATAGTTTCAGATCTGTTAGTCATCACCAAATGCGCAATGGAATGTTAGCATCTCTGTGGTATGATTACTGGTTACCTACAGGCCCCATAAGTCTACAATATCATCAAAGGATCATTAGAAACTCTGGTTTGACAAGAGAACCAAAAGTTGCAGCTATCATCATAAATGTAGATTGCCACTGGCCCATGACTGATTCTACGGAGTAGGTGGATTTGAGAAACAGTGTTCGTCCTGATCTGAAACCTAATCTGCAGCCTTCTGGCAAAATTGTATGGAGATTGTGCAACGGTGACTTTTCAATTAATTCAGCCTGGAATTATCTAAGAGATAAACATAATAGGGTTGGGTGGAAGGATGTTGTATGGTAATCTCAAGCTATTCCTAAACATGCTTTGATTCTTTGGCTTATAATTCAGAACAAGCTCGGGACAATATACAGGTTGATGCAGCTGGGACTTGTTACTAATGGTAATTACATTTTTTGTAGATACATAGTGGAAGATAGGGACCACATGTTTTATAATTGTAGTTTTGCAAACGGAATTTGGAGGACCATAGTTGGGAAATGTTCTTTGTAGTAGCCTATGGCAGAGTGGTCTGGTATTTTACGGCTATGAGATACAGAAGGAAAGGAATAAAAGGTGCTTTGCTAAGGAATTTAGAGATTGTGAAACTATATTTAAAGAGATATTTCAGGCAAATATAGAATTTGCTCCATGGAGAAGATTGAAGTTTCTGGTCCTAATAAGTACTGTTATAGAGCGAATGGTCTCTTCCATTCATAATGTTGATATTTATACAAAAAGCAGTGTTATTCTTCATGAGAAATATTGTTTCAAATAATTAAAACCACAAAACTAAGTGATCATCAATCATTCAGTTCAATAATTTCATATGATGTGAACAAATTAATGATATCATCGTACTTACCACAAAAGTGGTACGAACCAAAGCTTGGCAATAGAGGATAAGCCTATTAAATATTAATAAGCCAAATACGATTAAGATCTTCATAATTAACCAAATTTTTTCTGTGTGTTTGTGTGTTATCTATAATGTCTAAAATCTTGATTCAATTGAGCTATAGTTTGAAGTAATTTTGAAAATCTTTATGATATAAATTTGATACCAATTGACACATGTAAATTACCTTGAATTGTAAACTCTGAAACTACAATCAATTGAGCAAATTACTGGAACTAAAAGTGCTCAAAACTGGTAGGGGGAGATCCACCCAAAACGGGTGTGGGTGTGTGTGTGTGTGAGAGAGAGAGAGAGAGAGAGGAGTACTTATTAGTTCACAGAAGCACAACGACCCAAACGAAGGGGGAGATCCACCCAAAGGAAGTGGAGAAGTGGGGATGCTGCTACGCTAGGTTACAGAGACAGGGAGAGAGAGGGCGCACAAAAGAGGGTTAGGGCTATGCTTAAATGGATGTTAGAGAGAAGGGGAGAGAGAGAGGGCGACGAAAGTCATCATATGGTTAGGGCTGAGTTGATCGCTGTTTTACAGAGAGGGGGAGAGAGAGGTCTGCACGAATAAGAATATGAAAGAGCATTACGGCTGCAATTAGGTCAATGTATTAAAATATGGAAAAATGGTATTTTAGGGAATACAGGAAATAGGGAGAAAGGCATTTTAGTCAACAGAAATGTTAAACAGTAAAAATTCATGTGCCACCTCAACTTTTAGGTCAATCACATTTTTTTGAAACTACATAACTTTGACTCAATTGAGGACACCAAAATGACCCGGGTTTGGTGTGATCCACATTGCATAGGACGGGTCGGGTGTGGACAAATGGGATGGAGCAAGTTTACGCTGGATGGGCCCAGGTCCATAAATTCATTTCAGAAGCCCATGTTATAATGAGGGAAGTCGAGTCCAGCCAAAAGAGAACAAGATAGGTCTAGCTCAGTGGAGGTTATAACCGTCTATAAATAAAGGGGGATTGAGAGGGAAAAGGGGTTGGAAAAAATCATTGGGAGTGTAAAGTTTATCTCTCTACAATTAGGGAAAAATTCTTTGTACTTTCAATTGGCGCCATCTGTGGGAAGAACAGGAAGGATTGATTGATATCATTCCAGATCAGATCGATTCAACGCATTCTGCGGGGAAGACGATTAATCTGCGAAAGCTGAATCAACATTAGTAATAATATGATCTGTCTTGACGAGTCCAGGTTCCGGTTGATTTCAGAAAATTGGCGTCCGATCCAAGCAGATTAGATCCGTGCTTGATCCGGCGAACTGCGCAGTTGTGATCTGTTGTGATTACTGAATCCGGTCAGTAGTGGACTGAATTCGGCAAGTGTAAGTTCAGATCTGGTGTGCGCGCGTTAGCGGAACTCCGATCTGGTCAAGAAGTCTGCAGTTGATGACTTTGCTCCGATCTGGAATGATGATCGGAGAGGCGAACTCGAATTCTTTGGAGAACGGCCAGCAGACAAAGCTCGATGAGCTAATGAACATGATCGATGCTTTGAGGAAAGAAAATGCAGAGCTACGAGCTGGAATGGAGCATCGTGAGGCTCCTGCAATTCCGAGGCCGCCTCCTGAAGGAGAGGGAGCTTTACCGTTCGAAGCTGATCGTCAAGGTGATCCAGAAGATGTCAATCGTGGTGGTCCACGTCGTGATAAAGGTATAATCGGTAATCTGCCTCCGAATGCCGGCCGAGTAGAGGATCGAGAAGGATCTGTTCGTCTGGAATCGCATCACAAGCGGATTATGAGGGAGGAAGCACCGGCATATGAACATAGGATTGCGTCACCATGGCAGAGTGAATTTGCGGAGGATAGGTCGTTCGATCCGCCATACCGACCTTCATTAGCGACAGTTGATTACCACAGCTCAGAAAAAAGATCGGCCGATCGAGGATTTCTGTCACGGTTTTCAAGAGAAAATGAAGCATTGCGTTCCTCAGCAAGGACAGTTACATCGCCGTTCACTGATGAAATTATGAACGCGCAGAATCCGAAAAAGTTTTCCATGCCGATCTTCATTCTGTTTGACGGAACAACCGATCCGGTCAATCACATATACCATATTCAGTTGAAAATAGCCTTGAATACTAATAATGATCCTTTGATGTGCAAGTGTTTCCCTACGAGCTTGGCTGGACCAGCTCTCAATTGGTTCAAGAATCTGGCTCAAGGCTCAATCGCCAGTTTCCAGGACTTATGCGATAAGTTCATAGGCCAGTATTACGGGAATAATCGTCCGGCTAAGGATGTATCGAGCCTTTTTACAATAAAACAGCATGAGGACGAGCGGCTCCAAGCTTTTCTCACCCGGTTTAACCTCGTTAAAAGCATGGTAATGGAGTGTCACCCGTCAACAGCAGTCCAAGCATTTAAACTCGCAATGAACCGGGGGACGCCGTTCCACACCAGCCTGGTGGTTAATACGCCAAAGACAATGGACGAGTTGAACGAGAGAGCTGACGGTTTTGTTCACCTTGAGGAGGAAGAAGCAGCTAATTCAAGGAAGACGTCAATTATTTCGACGGAGGAGAAGTCCAAAGCCAAGATCCGTCAAAAACAAGCTCAACCGCAACGTCACCCCTCATGGAAAGCGGAGAAGAGGCCTAGGGAGGAGGAATCAATCACTCCACTCAGAGTCACCTTAGCAAGGCTATACCAGGAGAACAAAGATAAGTTTCGTCCTCCTCTGCCAATCAGGCAACCTCTTGAATAGAGGGATCAGACTAAATATTGTGCTTTCCATAGTGATTTTGGGCATCAGACTAACGAATGTAGGAACCTAAAGAGGCAGGTAGAGATGCTAATCGCAAAGGGGGAATTTGCAAGCTATGTTCAAGGTCCGGCGCAAGAGCATAACCGCCCGACTGAACAAATCAAGCGAAACCAGAGGCCGAACCAACACAACTCTCAGCCCGTCCGGATTATAAACGTAATTCATGGCTGGCCTGAACAAACGACAGAGTCAGAAGAGTTGCTCAGAACGAGGTTACGCCAGGCCCAGCTAAAAAGAAGAATTGGTAGTGTGTATACTTTGCACCAGCAGAACGAGTCCACGTCGATAAAGTTTGATAAAATGGACCTGCTACGCGTTCAGATCCCTCATGAAGATCCACTAATCGTTAGTCTGACGGTTGCAGAATGCCTGGTTCGGAGAGTCCTGATTGATCCAGGAAGTAGTGCGAACGTCATGCCCATGGTGACGTTCGACCGACTGGAGATCGAACCCAAAAAACTCAAACCCACAGGAAATCCGTTGCTCGGATTTGATGGGAAGTGAGTGGAACCCATTGGAATGGTGGAATTGACAGTACAAGCCGCTGAGCGGGTTTTGACTGAAAGTTTTGTGGTAGTAAAAATCCATCCATCATACAACCTCTTGATGGGCAGAGGCTGGATTCACAGAGTTCAAGGCGTCCCGTCAACCTTACATCAGGTGATGCGATGTTTGGGTCCGGATGGGACTAAGGTAATAGATATACACGGGGACCAGGTTGCGGTTAAAGAATGTTATTCAGTAACTTTGAAATCTGCTGGAAAAGGAAAAAATCCCATCCGTCCAGCCAGTCCAAAGTAGCAATTACAGAACCTTCCTCCCAGTAAAGATGAGGAAGAAGAACCACCAGTTCTGACCACAGAACCCCTTCATCAAGTAAAGATTGATCATGAGAAACCAGACCAAACAACAAGGGTGGGAACCAGATTCACTGAAGAAGAGAGACTAGAATTGACTAATTTCTTGATTCGGAATGCGGATGTATTCGCATGGAGCCATTCAGATATGCCAGGGATAAATCCTGCTGTATCCTGTCATTCTCTCAATGTGGATCCGAATGCAAAGCCAGTGAAGCAAAAGCAAAGAATATTTGCTCCAGAACGAAATCAGATTATAGATGAGGAGGTTAATCGGCTGCTTGAAGCCAGATTCATCAGAGAAGTTCAGTACCCGGCCTGGCTCTCTAATGTTGTTATAGTGCAAAAGAAGAATGGGAAATGGAGAGTATACATCGACTTCACTAACCTGAATAAAGCCTGCCCAAAGGATAGTTTCCCATTGCCCAGGATTGATCAAATGGTAGATGCCACCACAGGATATGAGCGGTTAACCTTCCTGGATGCTTATTCTGGTTATAATCAAATTCCTATGGACCTAGTTGATGAAGAGAAAACTTCATTTGTTACTGAACGAGGGACTTATTGCTACAAAGTCATGCCATTCGGATTAAAAAACGCTGGAACTACTTATCAAAGGCTGATCAGCAAGATTTTTAAGGGCCAAATGGGCAGCACTGTCGAGGCTTATATTGACGATATGGTGGTCAAGAGTAAGAGGAAGAGCGATCATTTAGCGCACCTGCAAGATGTGTTCGGTGTGTTGCGCCAGTATGGCATGAAGCTTAATCCGGCCAAATGCTTATTCGGCGTAAGTTCCGGTCAATTCCTGGGACATGTGGTCAATCATAGAGGAATTGAGGTCAGCCCAGCGCAGGCAGAAGCCTTGATCAGAAATGCAGAGCCAAAGACAATTAAAGAGGTGCAGGCACTCACAGGCCGAATAGCTGCACTGAGCCGATTTATTTCCAAGCTTTCGGACCGCTGTAAACCTTTCTTTGATACAATTCGAGGGCACGGAAGACAAACCTGAGGGGATGAGTAACGGCAGGCGCTAGCCAACCTGGAGGAGTACATGCGTAATCCTCCGGTTCTGTCTGCTCCAGAACCGAATGAGAAACTTTTTCTATATCTCGGAGTATCCAGTATAGCAACTAGTGCAGTTCTGATCCGTTGTAAAGAGGGCAAGCAGTTCTCGGTGTTTTATGTTAGCAAGACAATGTCTGAACCGGAACGAAGGTACTCTAGGGCCGAACGAATGATCTTGTCACTGGTCAACGCAAAAAAGGAAGCTTAGACATTATTTTGAATCTCATCCGATTGTCGTTTTAACAACTTTCCCTTTGAGAATGATCCTGCACAAACCGGACCTGTCGGGGAGAATGACCAAGTGGGCCATTGAATTGAGTTCATTTGATATCGCATACGAGCCCAGGATGGCAATCAAAGGTCAAGTGGTGGCGGATTTCCTACTTAACTGTGATGATGAAGATGAGGTGGAGGATTATAATTGTTCTTGGTGGAAGCTCTTCGTGGACGGCTCCTCGAATCAAATGGGGGCCGGGATTGGAATTCAATTGCAAACACCAGAAGGAACTGCGTTGAGCCAAGCGATAAGACTAGAATTCAACGCAACCAACAATGAGGCAGAATACGAGGCGTTGATAGTTGGGTTGAAGTTGGCTAAAGAACTGAAGATCAAGAATCTGATTGCTTATAGCGATTCACAACTAGTCATTCGACAAGTCAATGGGGACTATGGGGCCAGGGATGAGACCATGGAAGCATACCGAACTGCGGTTCTGCGTGAGGCTAAAGCCTTTGATCAGATCAGGTTTATCCAATTGCCGAGAGAGTATAACGAAGATGACGACCGCTTGGCTTGTAGTGCATCCAGTTCTGGAGATACTTTAGCTAGGGTCATCCCGGTCGACATACTGATCCAACCTTCCATTTTTGAAGAGCTGCCTAATCCGAGCACTCAACATGTTAATGTTATACCATATGAGCTGAGCTGGATTGATCCAATCATGGCTTACATACGTAATGGTACACTCCCCGAGCGTAAGGACGAGGCAAGAAAAATTAGGTCCAGCGCAGCAAAGTATGCCATTGTGCACGATCAGTTGTATAGACGCTCCTTCTCAGGTCCATATTTGAAGTGTGCTACCCCTGCAGAAGCTAGACAGATTATGCAAACCATTCACGAGGGAGTATGCGGAAATCATTCGGGAGGAAGATCTTTAGCACATAAATCAATAACACAGGGGTACTTCTGGCCAAACATGGCACGAGATGCAGAAGAATTCTCTAGAAGATGCGATAAATGCCAGAGGTTCGGGTCATTGATACATCAACCACCTGAAGACCTGCACGTAATGGCTACCCCATGACCTTTCGCGCAATGGGGGTTGGACGTGGTTGGCCCTTTGTCGACTGCAAGATCGCAGAATAAGTACGTTCTGCTAGCTACTGATTACTTCACCAAATGGGTAGAAGCAGAGCCGTACCCTAGTGTCACCCAAACTCAAGTCAGACGCTTTATCTGGAATAATATTATCTGTCGTTTTGGCGTACCAAGGTTAATCGTGATGGACAATGGAACCAACCTCGATAGCAAGCAAGTGAAAGAGCTGCTGGAGGAATATGGAATCAACTAGAAGTTAGCAGCAGTCAATCATCCCCAGGCTAATGGTCAAGCCAAAATCACAAACAGGACAATATTTGCTTGTATTAAGAAAAAGCTGGAGAATGAAAAAGGCAAATGATTAGATAAGCTACCGAACGTCCCGTGGGCTTACAGAACGACCCCAAGACGGCCAACTGGAGAGAGCCCATTCGCTATGGCCTATGGCACTGAGGCGGTGATACCAGTCGAGCATTTGGTTCCAACTGTAAGGAGCTTGGCGTGGGATCAAGAGCAGAATGATAGAATGCTGAGGTTCAATCTTGATTTGTTGGAGGAAAAAAGAGATGCGGCTGCAGTGAGGCTTGCCTCTTATCAACAAACGCTTGTGAATAGCCATAACAAGAAAGTGAGGCACAGGGGTTTCGCTCTTGGCGATCTGGTTCTGAAAAGGAAGGTGGGAATAGTCAAAAAGATGTTTTCCCCATGGGAAGGTCCATACAGAATAGTAGAGGTCATAGGGAAGGGGGCATACGTCCTAGAAACTATGACATGAAGGGTGGTCAATAAGCCATGGAATGCTACGTCTCTGAAAAGGTACTACCAGTAAAAGTAGAGTTTAATTTCAAACAATATGTAAGCTCTAAATTGCATGCTTGCAAGTGTATGAAATTTCCATGCTTTATAAAAAGTCTCTTCTTTGTTAAAAATTTACACTCTTCCCATTCATCAAGTTAATGGCAGCTGGCATAAAGCCGAACGCCAAACACTTGCTCAAAAAATGAAAAAAGCCAAGTGGCAAGAGGCGTTCAAGCCGAGCGCCAGGCATTCAGCAAGTTAGTGGCAGCTGGCACTTAAGCCGAACGCCAAACACTTGCTCAAAAAATGAAAAAGCCAAGTGGCAAGAGGCGTTTAAGCCGAGCGCCAGGCATTCAGCAAGTTAGTGGCAGCTGGCACTTAAAGCCGAACGCCAAACACTTGCCCAAAAAATGAAAAAGCCAAGTGGTAAGAGTCGTTCCAGCCGAGCGCCAGACATTCAGCAAGTTAGTGGCAGCTGGCACTTAATGCCGAACGCCAAACACTTGCTCAAAAAATGAAAAAGCCAAGTGGCAAGAGGCGTTCAAGCCGAGCGCCAGGCATTCAGCAAGTTAGTGGCAGCTGGCACTTAAAGCCGAACGCCAAACACTTGCTCAAAAAATAAAAAAATCCAAGTGGCAAGAGGCGTTCAAGCCGAGCGCCAGGCATTCAGCAAGTTAGTGGCAGCTGGCACTTAAAGCCGAACGCCAAATACTTGCTCAAAAAATGAAAAAAGCCAAGTGGCAAGAGGCGTTCAAGCCGAGCGCCAGGCATTCAGCAAGTTAGTGGCAGCTGGCACTTAAAGCCGAACGTCAAACACTTGCTCAAAAAATGAAAAAAACCAAGTGGCAAGAGGCGTTCAAGCCGAGCGCCAGGCATTCAGCAAGTTAGTGGCAGCTGGCACTTAAAGCCGAACGCCAAACACTTGCTCAAAAAATGAAAAAAGCCAAGTGGCAAGAGGCGTTCAAGCCGAGCGCCAGGCATTCAGCAAGTTAGTGGCAGCTGGCACTTAAAGCCGAACGCCGAACACTTGCTCAAAAAATAAAAAAGCCAAGTGGCAAGAGGCGTTCAAGCCGAGCGCCAGGCATTCATCAAGTTAGTGGCAGCTGGCACTTAAAGCCGAACGCCAAACACTTGTTCAAAAAATGAAAAAAGCCAAGTGGCAAGAGGCGTTCAAGCCGAGCGCCAGGCATTCAGCAAGTTAGTGGCAGCTGGCACTTAAAGCCGAACGCCAAACACTTGCTCAAAAAATGAAAAAGCCAAGTGGCAAGAGGCGTTCAAGCCGAATGCCAAGCATTCATCAAGTTAGTGGCAGCTGGCACTTAAAGCTGAACGCCAAACACTTGCTCACAAATGAGTAAGAAAAGGACAGAATGGTGACATGGCCGAACGTTAAGCACTTGTAAAAGTTGAAAATAGAAAACTCAATGGAGGAAAGTGATGCTGAGCAAAAGCATTATCATTCA